AACCTCTGCATTCTTGTGCTGGGACTGAGATATCAGGTTGGGTAGCAAAGACTGAAGGCCGTCTTGAGGGCAAGGCTGTCTTCAGGAGCAGGAAACCTGTGTGTGGCCTCTGAGTCTGAGTCTCCATTCCTGCTTTTTTTTTTTTTTTTGTGAATGCCATTTCCTTATTATATTGTTTTCCAGCCTTTGGTTTTTAATCTATCTTTTTCCTGATTTATTAGATGTGTCTCTTGTAGACAACATGTTAATGGACATTGTTTTTTATCCATTTGCTAATCTTTTTCTCTTAATTGGTGCATATAAGCTATTCATGTTAAGTGTGATTATTGACAGGCCAGTTTTTATCACTATTATTTTGCTGTTTCTTTTTCTGTTGTTTCTGGTTATTCTGGCCCATCCACTTTCCTTTGTTTTCTTAGTGAAGGACTTCCCCTAATGTTTCTTATACAATTGGTGAATTCCTTAAGTTCCTGCTTTTGTACAAATGACCTAATTTCTGCTTCATATTGTATTTGATGGACAGTTTTGCAGAATACAGGATCTTCAGGTGGTAATTACTTTAGTGTAGGCTTCTGTTTGTGATATCCCATTGTCTTCTTTTTGGATTGGTTCTTGATGAGAAATCAGAATTTAATCTAATTAGTTCTCTTTTGCAGGTGACTTTCTTATTTCATCATGCTGCTTTTAGTATTCTATCATTGTCTTTGATTTTGGAGAATTTGACTATATATGTCTTGATGTTTTTCTTTTGGGGTCTAGTCTGTTTGGAGTTCATTGAGCTTCTTGAATGTAATTTCCTCCTTCTACATGATAACTGTAGCTTTCCTCCAGAAACTCTATGAACTTGGAGAAATGATGAAAGTTATACAAGTGTTTAGGTCTTTTGTTCATAGAGTCTCTGTGAGTCATCTACAACTCAATTGTATTCAACAACAACAACAACAACAACAACAATAATAACACATAATACCTGGGAAGTTTTCTTCTAGTACCTCTTCAAAAATTTTCTCAGAGTTTTTTCTTCCATACTCTGGTTCTGGAATGATAATCATACATATGTTACTCCATTTGGTGTTATTTCACACGATTTTAATGTTTTCTTCATTTTTTCCTTTGATCTTCTCTCTGCTTTTTCTTCTAGTAAGTTCTCATTATGATTCTTGTCTTGTAACTCACTGATTCTCTGTCATATCTCTTCTATTCTGCTTTTTTATCTCTCCATCATATTAAAAACTTCTGCCATTTTGGCCTTGATATTCTGGATTAAATTTCCATTCATTTCTATTATTTCCAGTACTGTGTTGATTTTACCCTCCCTATCTTGTGGTGATTTTTAAAATTATTCTATCTCTTTGTTTATTAAATTTGGGAGGCTGGGTTTTATGAGGAGTAATGTGGCATCTGGATTGGAGAAAGACTTTTCAACAATCTGGGATATGCAGGTGACACAACCTTGCTTGCTGAAACTCAGGAGGACCTGAAATGCTTGATGTAGAAAGTCAAGGACTGTAATCTTTAATATAGATTGAAACTCAACATCAAGAAGAAAAGATTCTTAACACTGGGCCAATTGGCAGTATCATGATAAGTGGAGGAGAGATTGAGATTGTTAACAATTTTAGCTTGCTTGGCTCCATAATCAACACCCATGGCATCATTAGTCAGAAATAAAAAAACCCAATTGTACTTTTAAAATCTGCAGTCAAGGACCTCTCTTCAGTATTTAGAAGCAAAGTTGTCAGTCTAGGGACTAAGATGCAGTTGATTCATGGTCATTGTAATTACTTGTTATGCATCAGAGAGTAGGACAATGACTAAGGATGACAGAAGAAGAATTGATGGCTTTAAGTTGTGGTGCAAGAGAAGAATATTGAACATACCATGTACTGTCAAGAGAACAAACAGGTCCACCCATGAAAGGGTAAAACTAAGTTTCTTCTTGGAGGATAAGATTTTGAAGCTCCTGGGAATGTGGCCAGGAGAGACTGGTCCTTGGAGAAGGACATTGTGCTTGGAAGGGTGGAGGAACAGCGCAGGAGAGGAAGACTCTGGATGAGATGGATTGACACGATAGCTGAGGTAATGGAGTAGATGTCAGTGAGAATGGCTCAGGATAGCACAGTCTTCAGAGCTGTTGTACATGAGGTTGCTGTAGATGAGTTGCAGATGACTAAACAGCACATAACAACAACAAATGAGTCAAAGATATAAGTCCTTTTTATTTACCTTTCTCACACATAAAATATTTTTAAAAATATTTTCACTTTTTGGCAGGATACAAGATCAACATACAAAAATCAGTTGGATTTCTCTACAGTGACAAAGAAAACACAGAGCCAGAACTAAGAAAACCAATACCCTTCATGATTGCTAATCACAAGATAAAATACTTGAGAATAAATTTAACCAGAAGCACAAAGGATCTATTCAAAGAAAATTAGAAAACATTTCTACAAGAAACAAAAGAAGACCTGGAGAAGTGGAAGAATATCCCTTGCTCGTGGATAGGAAGACACAATATTGTGAAAATGGCAATACTACCAAAGGCAATTTACACGTTTAATGCAATACCAATACAAATACCAATCCCATTCTTTAACGAGATGGAAAAGGCAATCTCCAGTTTTGTTTGGAATGGAAAAAGCCCCGAATAAGCAAAGCACTTCTTAAAAATAGAAAAAAGGTAGGAGGTATCTCACTCCCTGATTTCAAATCCTACTACATTGCCATGGTAGTAAAGACAGCACGGTACTGGTACAATGACAGACACATGAGCCAATGGAATAGAATTGAGAACCCAGAAATTATTTTGCTTGGCTCTGTAGTGAACAGTCTTGGCACTAGCATCCAGGAAATTAAAAGGCGCATTGCCATGGGAAAGTCTGCTGTTAGGGACCTCTCCAAAGT